GGTTTTGGGGGGGGGGGGGGGGGGGGCAACCGTTGCTTGCGTTCATCTTTGTACTAGGGACAAAGCCACCGTTTTGGTCCTTTCATGAACATTTCCGACAACAGCAAGTGGCGGCTCTTTACGAACCTGAAATGACTTGTTTGCGTTTCTGACGGCAAATAACTGTGTTCATCACCTCATGTCCTTTGCAAAGATCACCATATGGGGGGAGAGGAGCGGGGGTCGTGTACCGCTTGAGACTCAGATGTGGTCAAACGCGTGTATAGTGAGTGAACAACCGCACCGCAAAAATGAACGCCGCAGACGACAACCATGACACCACACCAGAGAGCACCCTGACAGTTGTTTCTGGCCCATTTCTGTTTCAACCGGCGTCATTGCTCGGGTATAAACAAATCGTCGTTCCACCGATGGGCACACGCCGCCGTGATCAATACAACTCCCACCTCTTGCGTAGGGAGGCACGCAAAGGGCGGGCGGTAACATCCACACGCAGCCACCTCTCACCAAAACCCAACCTACGTCCAAAATTGGAAGCGAGCGATGCTGCCAAAAACGCCCGGTGCAAGACAAACACCGCCATGTTCACCTGCTCCACGCTCTTTGTGTTATCCTTGCGCCACTGCTCCAGTCGCAGCTTGATGGCCCTCACCACCGCCGCATCCGGCCCGGGGTTCCTCTCCGGCGTGTCCTCCTCGTCCTCGTCCAGCCCCGCCGCCGCCGCCGCCTCTCCCCCTAGCACCCCCCCCGTCTCCCGCCGCGCCGCCGACTCCGCCGCCTCCAGCTTCAGCCTCCGAGCGGCAGCGGCTGCGTCCTTCGCCGCCCCTATCGCGGCGGCGGCCTTTTCCGCCGCGGCCTTTTCCGCCGCCGCCTTCGCCGCTGTCTCCGCCGCTAGCGCCAGCGCTGCTACGCGGGCCGACGTCCCCAGCAATGCCCTCGCCGGCGTCAGGGCTCCCGCCGCGCCCCTATTCTCGGTGACGGCTGCCGTCGGGGCCGGCGACGCAGCAGTAGCAGCTTCTTCTCCTGCTTGCACTCCTGCTGTTGTCGCTTCTTCTGCTGCTTCCACTCCTGCTGTTGCTGGTTCCGCCTTTGCTGTTGTCCCTGTTGTTTCCGCCTTTGTTGTTGTCGCTGTTGTTGCCGCGGACGGCAATGGCTTCTTCGAGCTCTCCGGCGCCGATACCGTCCCCGCCTCCGGGGCCGCGGCGGGCGGGGAGGACAAGACGAACGGGGAGGCGCTCTTACCTCCGCCTCCGTTCGCAAGCAGCAGCTGCTGCTGCTTCTTCTTCGCCGCCGCTCCTGCCCAAGGCGAAGCCACCACCGCCGCCTCCGCCTTCGGCTTCCCTTCCGCTGCCTTTGGCGGCTCCCCCCCGGCGACCGCCGCCGCCGCCGCGACCGCCTCACCTCCCCCTCCTTCTCCCTCTCCGGGCTCCCCTTTCTTGCCGCCGTCCGTGGTGGGCTTGCCCGTCGCCGACGGCGGGGGCGGAGACTTGACCTTCTTCTTGGCAGGCGGCGGGTTGTCCGCGTTGCCTTCTCGCAGAGAAATCAACGCCGCCAAGGATAAGGATAAGGATAAGGATAACGATAGCGGCAACACGTGAGTTCGGGCCCCCAACGCGAAGGGTTGGGCGAGCGGGAGCACAACCGGGGGTGGGGGCAGAGGCGCGCGGGGGAAAGAACAAGGCCGAGAGACAGGACAAAGCGAGTTCGTTAAAGGCGCTCTTTGTGCACCGGTTGTCAACCTCTCCAAACGCGTCATCGCCAGCTTACTCGGGCGCGCACAAAATACACAGAGCAAACACCGCATCTGGAAGAAACGGGGATCTTTATCGGAGAAACAAGTGTAGAAACAGACTTGTTTCGGCGTAGGCCACGACGACGCCGGAGTACGACCAGCAAACGCCACAAAGATTGAGAGACACGCGATAGCTGCAAAGATGCCGCTGTGCTGACCATCAACCCCGCACAACGCCCGCTGCTACCCCTGCACCTCCCGCGGTCTACCCGGTGGACCAACCCCATCATTGGATAACAAAAAGGCGGGCTAACCTGTGATGCTCTCGATGAACCTCGCCCCGTGTCTCGCGTCGTGCTGAGCGTCGAGCCACACGCACGCGGGAGACAGGTGGTGCGGCTCAATCTTCCCGCCGCCTTTCCCAAGCTTCTTCCTCGCCGCTCTCCCCTGCGCCGCCTGCGGAACGGCGGAAGACAACACCATTCTTTAGTGTGGACTGCTGCCATCACCGTACTCGATGACAACGCAAATATTAACCCCGCGTGCACACACGAGACGCTCGTATGTTCCTTGCACGCCTGCTCTGCTAGGCCGTGGCGTCTCGCCGTACTTCACAACAGACAACGCAAAAAAACAACGCCGCTTGCTCGTACCCTTGCTAGGCCGGGGTGTTATTCATCGCCGGGGTTACACCGGGAGATTTCCAGCCTGGGTGTTGGCATCGGGTATAGCCGGGAAAGGGAACTTGCTGTTCAAGCGAAATCGTTATCGTTTTCTTTCGGGGGGGTTACTACACTAGCGTTACAGTAACAACAGCATCCAGGGTCCAACTCAAGGCAGACCGCGGTACAATAGCCCTGACCTGTGATTGGGAGGGTGCTCCTGAAGTGTCGCCGAATATTGCGTCCTGCTCCGCCCAGTTGAGCAAGAGGGCCGACACCGCTTGGCGGGCGAACTCCGGCCAGGTGAGCTGCGTGGAAACGGAGGAAGCCGGTGGGGGAAGGTTGCAAAGACGACGGCACAGCGGTTTCAGCGCGTGTGAGGTCTTTCGGCTTGCTGCTGTTGTGAGCAACAACAACGAACACGACAACGACGACGACGACAACAACAACAACAGCAGTCGATTGGGCAAGGTAGCATTTCCCCCCCTTCCCGTGCCCGCGCCATTCGGAGGGCCGTCCAATTTGGCTAGCTCCTCAGCTACACGCGAGGCAGCCCTTTTCTTCGCTCGCCCACGACAACTACGACGACCAACTCTGATCGATTCCAGGGCGGGTGCCTCGGGGTATTCGTTCCCCTTTCCTACACAAAACCAGCCGCAGCACAAGACTTAAGACTCCCCCCGCCCGTTCTCAGTCACGACGACTACGACGACCAACTCTGATCGATTCCATTGCGTCGTTCCCCTCGTTCCTCTTTCCTGCAAAAGCCAGCGGCAGCACGAGACTTACGACTCCCCTGCCCTCACCGAGTTCGGCCTGGTCGTCACGGCAGCCTCCCGCTCGTCGAGGCTGGACACCATCTGGTCTTGAACCATGTCCACAAGCCGGACCTGCAAGGTTGTTGGTTTCGTCGACAGGCGCCGTAGCCGAAGGCATTCCGATCTCTGCTCAGCACCTTCCAACATCATCTATGCAGGTCGAACTGGCGCGGACGCCTACTGCATGTACCGTGAATAGAAAGCAAGAAACCACGCAATCACTGCGCGCTTTGTCCTTTTCCCTGCCGACTTCAAATTCACAGCGCCAGCCAACTTGGCAGTTTTCAATTTTTTTTGTTCCAATTTTTTTAATCCTTCAAAATGTAATCACTTGAGGACCTTTTGTGAGCCCGGATAAGAGCCCCTTTACACTAAACCTACATAGCGGCCACTCGTAGCATAACCCAGCGGGCCCAGCATTGGCCGAAACTAGAGGTTCTCAAGTGTAGGCGCTAACTCTATACCTGCAGGGCGTCGAGCCAGCCCCGCTGCTCCGGACTCGATACCGCCGAGTACAGCTGCGGCAGGGTCGGCGCCTTGAAACCCTTCGGCCCCAGGGGGCTCGGAACCGGGCGCAGGAAGACCCCCCCCCCCCCGCCCCCGCCCTTGCCATCGGTCTGCTCCGGGAGGGGCGGTTGTCCTGGTACCATCGACGGGATCGGTCCGTTGTAAGCCTGTTGCCGACGGCAGCAGCAAACAATGGTCAAGAGGAGAGGAGGGACGTGAGAGAGCACAGAGGGGGGGGGGGGGCGGTCCCCAAATATGTTTTGTGCTGTAAACATAGTAGATGCGGAGGGCATCGAAATTGTGGCACAAGGTACCGTAACGGTCCACGCGCACGAGGTAAGGATAGTCGTGCTCATCAGTCAAGACCTCACAGTGTTGATGCTCTCATGCTATCGCTGCGGTTGTGTAACAATTATTTCTTCCATTAGCATCGACTTCGCTACCAGTGCACAACCTCGGTGTCGGCGTCGCTCCGACTACGTAAATAGGTACTGCCTTCACGATCTCCTTTAGGACTAAACCGTTAAATACCTAGCCCACACCGACATCATCTACAATACGCTGGAAGAGCTCGACGAAAACGACACCATAAACTCTTTTGATTGGTCCACTGCCCTGAACCCTGAAACTTGGTGGCCCTGTGCTGGTGGTGGATCACCGCACGGCAGGCGCGAGCGAAGAAAGCTCCACTAAAATAGGGATGCGACACATGTTTTTGTAGGACCGGGGTTACATGTACAAGCGCTGGATACATACAAACCAGCGTGCGTGTGCAAAGCCAACACCCTAAAAGGCAAACGCATCTAGCTGGCACTCCCTCCAAGAGAAGAGCATCGTTTTGCTTATTCGGTTGCTTGGCCTACTCCCTGCAGCGGTTCAGGGGCCTCTCAACGTGCTCCCCGAGCACACAACCCCGCCATCCGCATCCCACGCCAACGTCGAGCACAACACATGATTCGATGCTTCGCATCTTTTTAGGTCACTACTGCTGTAGGTAGTGGACCATGCAAGCTCCAACACTCTCTTGGTCTTGGTGTAATGCATTTTGGAGGAATGAACAATCAGGTACATCATAGACACGCGCGTTTGTCAAAAAGCATCCCAACGGCCCCGCAAAGTGTGGATTCTCTGCTCAGGTCGTCGTTGGATCCTTCGACGCGACTGAAAGCTACGCACAGGGGATCGGCGGTGCGCCATGATTGCTGGACGGGGTCATTGCCTTCAACAACAACAACAGAGTACACCACGCAACGCCTCGTGTAGTGCTTCACCTTCCAGCACAAAGTGATGCATTCAAAGCCTGCACTTCCATCGCAATTTGTACAAAAAAAAGTCGAAATAGTAAATCATGCGACGGGAATCCTGCTTGCCCGCAGCACAGAGCGCAGCACAGAGCACATCACACAGAGGACACACAACCAACATACCTCGGTCTCGGCTACACTCATGAGCTGCAAGAAGTCCCAGCACGCCAGAAGATCTTCCAGAAACTCGGGCTCCAACGCCTCTACCGCCGCCTCGGCAGCGGCAGCGGCGGCGGCCGCCGCCGCCCCCGCGCCCCGCCCTCCCCCCGCGCCCCCCCGCGCCGCCGGCGCCTG